AGCTAAAGGGAAGGAGATTTGAGACGATAGAAGAGATTCAGGCAGAATCGCAGATGGTGCTTGACAGGCTGACAGAGAAAGATTTCCAGGGATGCTTCCAGGCTTGGCAGCGGCGCTGGGATCTACTTCGAGGGTGATGGATGAATTTAATACCTGAGATAAGTGTGCGGGTTTTTATAGGCGCAGTCTGGAAACTTTCCGATCGCACCTCGTACAAGAAGATTAATGGATCGAAATCACTTCAAAGAATTTAAGACGAAACCAGGCATGTTTTCTAGACACTGATTGTAGGTAAAATGACTTCCCTCCGTTGCAGTCAATTTTGATTTTATCCATAGTAAATTTATTACACACGTGTTTCGAATTCCCTGTCTTCAGGATATTATGATATATTCTCATTTGGTATTTCTTCAAAGTTCTGAAGCAATGTTTACGTCTTCGCCTACTCCTATGAAATGGATAGAAGTCTGGCTACCGTATTTCGATACATCGTCCAGTTTTTTTCGTAATACGTTGTCTTCTTCAGGTACTCTTTCATTTGTGTACACACTTGTGCAAAAATTACACCATTTAACATCATTATTTACAAACAACGATGATAAAAGCTGGAGTCATTCAGTTGAAAACTGTATGATGGGGGCCTGTTTCAGCTGTAATTTCAAAGACGTCTTTGGTAGTATTCTTTCCGGGCTGCGATGACTTTAGACAGATAACAACGTTTCTGAGAAACTATCATCTCCATATTCAGGCCTGAAGCCCAATGTAAACATCTTCACAGGTCTGAGAACCTGAGATATCTCTGATAGTGATCACGTTGGCATTATGATTTTAACCCCCTTCTCTTAATTTGTTACAGAAAATTCCGTCCCCATGTTCGTAGGAAGATTTTTTCTTATTTTCCATCGTGGAACACGCACATGAAGTTTGTAAACATACTTCTGACTCACCCTGTATATCCTACGTGGAGTTGAACCCATTCTTCCAGGTTTTAACAACTGAATTATACTGATTAAAAGTAATTTTAATTACTCTATATATCATAGTTAAAATATGACGATCTCAATTAGATATGAATCCAAAAAGACGTATACTAAAACGGGTAATTTTTGGACATTTATCGAACCATTTTCCGGAAATTATCAATAAAATAATTCGTATCACTTCTATATTTTGGAAATGTTAAAAGAGGATTAGTTAAGCGAAGTCGGATTTTTAAACAGTTAACGTCTCCTTTACAACGTAAAAAAAATCACAAATTCCAGATAAATACGTCGAGATGTCTGTCTTCTTCTGAGTAGAAGCGTCGAGTAGTCTGGTAGAAGTTTGTCTTCACCCTGATGATGGAGGCTGAAAGGACCTCCGAAACTTTGATAACCTTCAGACTCACCTCAGTGAAAATCTCAAATTTTAATTTGAAATGCTTCGATCACACACATCCGTTAAAAAAATAGTTTAAAATTAAATTCGTTCGTTATCTGTAAATTTTTTTTTAAATTTATATCATAAATAATTTAGCACGTTATATTAAAATATATTCTTATCATAGATGTATTTTGAATACGCATTTCAATAACCCAGACTATAATAATAGATTGATTTGTAGTTTGATTTTGTTGGAGACATTTCTTTGTTGCAATTAACGGATTAGATAATACGATATTTTACGATTACTTAAAATAATTTGTGACACAAGACAAATATATCGAGAAAACGTAAAACAAACTTCAATTTCTTCATTAAATCTGAGTTGTCCGTTTTACTTCGAAACGACAGGATTCTGTAAAGTCTGCAAAGTGTCGAACACGTGATTACAGGATTAAAGCTGTCGTCTGAATACTGCTGGTGTTTGCATTGGTGCTGTTTGAAGCCGACGGTAATCGAAGTTGGACATGTCGTACAGAGGGTTTGTTCGAAGCCGAACTCTGCAAAGTATTCATACGTCGCGTAGACGTAGACGTGAAAGTGTCCGTTACGCTGCTGGAGTCTGTGTTCGTGTGAGCGTACCTCAAACTACGTCCGTGGTTGTCTGTTACGTGACCTTCATTTGGCCAGCAACAAGATATCCACACAAAGGGTGGAATTTTCCTGAAAACGAAGCACATGGCATTTGTAAACATCCGTTTATCCCTAGTGGTCAGATGGGCCATACCACAATTACGTAAAAGATGATTCGAAACCAATTATTTTTACAAGAAAATTAATAAAAAAAGTCCAATAAAATATTTTATTAAATATTAAAATATTATTACTACATTTAACATTTAAAATATTTAAAATATATTAAAATGATGCTCTCTCTATCGAAATGTTCGATTAAATTTTTAAATTAAAATTTCTCAATATATTATTTTGTTTTCTATCTCTAATATTTATTTAGTCTTTATAATATTATTATTTAATTTACAGATCGATTATAAAAAACCACTACAAACATTTCACCCACGCAAGATCACGCTATACGCGATATACATTTACGAAACAACATTGAATGTGATAACAAAGTACAATTGATCTAGAAGAGGATAACTTTCCGATATTTAATGGACATCTGACGAAGGATTGCATTTAGAATATTACATTTGAATTTATATCGATTATACACCTGAAGATGGTTCATTGAAAACCGAAACATGTCGTGAAAAAGATGATGCTCTAATTGTAAATCGAACATTTCGATAGAAAGGGTATCATTTTAATATATTTTAAATATTTTAAATATTAATTGTTTAATGTGGTAATAATATTTTAATATTTAATAAAATATTTTATTGTGATTAGACGTTTAAAATTAAACAATTATAATCATCACAATATGACGCAACATTATCATCTCAAAAAAAGTCCAGTTATACTTTTAACCCAAAGCAGAAGAGAGAGGACGAGATAAATTTGCGAAGTATAAAAAGAGAGAAGAAGGTTCCCAGGCAGTGCCCATTCGTCCTTCAGATAAGAATAGAATAAAAGCAAAGACTTTAAGGTGACAATTACTGAAAGCTTGATAACAGAGACGGCTGAATTTCGATGTAATTATTTGTGAGCTTTGAAATTATAATTTTAAAATTCAATAAGATATTTAGTAGCCTCTAACGTAAGGGGGGTAAATTTTGATAAATGTGCATCTCGAGGTCTGAATGAGAAACTTGCAGTGGCAATTTCGGTCTTGGCAGCATTTGGTTAAACACAGAGGAAAACCGAGAAAACCGGTCTCAATACCTTCCTGATTCACACTGGCTACTAACGAAAGAATACAGTACCCTCTCCCCCACCAGGTTTAAGTAATTTGAGTGTCATTTAAGAATTCAGTCCGTAAAGCAATTGGGCTTTGAAGGGTTTAAATAATGAAATGTCCATTCACAGTCCTTTTATGTTCTGTTAATTTCACTGAGCACGCTTTTGTAACGTGTTAATGACGTAAAAATTCAGCGATAATATTAAAAAAAAATGACAAGAAATTTCTGAAATTCTAAACTAGTATTTAACAAAAACGAAACAAATCATACTTAGAATAAATATAAAAGCATTACATGATACTTATTTGCGAGATTCTAATAACACCAGCAAATTTCTCGTCAGAATGACGGGATAATCTAAAATGGTAAATACACTTAGCGATAAATATTATACCATAAGGCCCAAAATCCCTTAACATAATCACCAACTAAGCTACTAAAAACAATTAATATATGCAAAGCCTATTAACTTATAATCGTTTTTATTTGTTAAGAGTACGTATAACGAGTCTAGAAAGATCGGCCCTTCACTTGTTATACATAAACCTACGTGAAACAATCAGTTTTCTTCTGGGAATAATTCCTCTGTCTTATATTATTTCTGAAAATAATAGACTGCTGATATAATTACTAATGACACCTCGAAACATATTTATTTATAATACAACTTAAAAGAATTTAAACATTTGACACGCAAAACAGCTTTGTTATTCGGTAAAAATTAATGATTTGGATTTGGTAAATTTTCTACTTCGAGAAATATAAATTCTTATATCAGACACAGTACAATTAAAATAACATTACTCTAAAAAGTAAAATATTGTAATTAGACGCAATCATTAAAGACACGTCCATCTGTAAATAAGAATTATACAATATAGGAAACACTTAAGATATTTGTGTCCAGAAGTAATAATTTTTAATATAAAGCTGTTTAAAAGTAAAAAGGATCTTATTAATTTTTTTAATATTATACCGAAATAAAATTTTGGACTCGTAGGAGTTCGCGACACATCAGTCCTTTATCATACCTTAGGCTCCTGCATATGTGAGTTGAGAACAAACAGTAGATGAGTGGGTTGGCCGCAGAATTTAACGGCGCCAGACTCTGGATAAATGTTGCCACTGCGATGTTTGTCTGCGTCTTGGAGAAATAGCCGAAAACTTGTAGCAAGTCAAACACGATGTAGGGACTCCAGCACAGAATAAAGACTGAAGGAAATAAAGTTCATGAAAACTTTGCTCTCACCGTAAAATTTGCTGGTACGAGGTGCGATCGGAAAATTTCAAGACTGCGC